TCCGCCAGCGTGGAGGACACGCCATCACCCTTGCGTGCGAGTTCGTTACGCAGTCATTATTTTAACTAGAAATACTTGATTAGGCTTCCGACCTGTGTTCCAGGAGTTCTTTGAATGCACGTTTTTAATGCAACAAAAGCATACATTTTGGTAAGAAGAACGGTCAGACACTGAAGCAGAGACCACCTCCCTAAGCGTTCTCGTCGGGGACGAGGTTTCTTCCAGCACAGCCAAAGCGGCGTATTTTAGTTGTGGGATGTCACGAAGTAACGCAACATTTGTGTTGCAGTCGTTGTGTTCCACCCTTGGCCTTTTAAAGGTCCCTCACATACAGCCACATACTTCGTTAACATGGTTTTGCCCATTTCTCGGAAATCCAGCAACACGCTCTGTGATCTGCGGCCCAGGTCACGGTTAGAGGCGGAATCTGTCGTCTCGAGGCTTTCCTGCTTCCCTTCTCCACAGTGACGCAGTCCCCAGTAGCACATTTCTCCACTGTACATCATCGCCAGTAAGTGAGTGTCACTAAATACACCTGCAAAAATAATTCAGATCAAGTACTTCATTGTTCTAAGCAAGTACACAGCTTGTTAACTTCGATTTTTTTTTTTTTTTAAGTAACACTGGAAAAAAATTCCAAAATGGCAGTATAAGCCTTAAAGAGGTACACCAAAACCCCAAGTTTTAACCACGAGATGGCTGACACTGCCCAGAAGAGAACATGGATCAAGGCCTTGCTCATTACTCTATCCATTTTGCCCCTCCCTAATGCTAAAATCTTTTAAGATTGCCATATAAATACTATTCTGATAATTGTGTTTGCCTATTTATCTTAGAGAATTTCAGTATTGCTTTATAATCCGTTAAGCGCAGGCATGATTATGCGTACTTATGTTAGAATACTTCTGTGCCTCCCACAATTTAAGCCTAAAAGAAGATGCTGTTTGAGCATCATGTTAACTCAGGTTAACCAGCAGCAGCTTTAGTATTTGAATAGAAAGCCACATACATGCCTGTGATCACTGAAAAAAAAAAAAACCCTGCTAAATAAATCTACAAATCAGTTACTGAACTTGGCTTTGCATTGTGGAGCTGAATTGGAGCAATGCCACTTTCAGATGAAATTAAGTAAGAAGGTGCTCCATCCCCCCGTAGCCAGAGTAGAGCTAGTTTTGAGTGTGTACAACGTGGACATCATGTCCTCAGCACCAGCTGTTTAACCTTACAAATCACCTCCTGCTGCATCACCCTACCTGCATCACACTGATGCAGCCTCAGATCCTCATGTAAAGTACTACAGTACGGTACAGCAACTTACTTTATGTAAAGATACATAAAGTGGAGACAGAGAGAATAGAAGTTTGCCAAATCTAACCAATTTGGCATGTACTTTCTACCTGGTCAGTAATTCTGTGTTCATATCTGTGTTCTCCTAAACAGGAGGACCAACATGGGAACATCTAGCACCCTCTGCAGTCGTATTTGTGCTTCCAACATTCGTCAGTTGACAACTGGATGGTTGTAAAACACACATGCTGTGCGTAAAACACCCATTGCCTCAGTTCACTTTCCTCCAGTGCACTCAAAAACAGAAAATGAGCACTGCCACCTCCTAAAATCCATGAGTCAAGAAGAAGGGGGGGAGGGGAGGGCACTTCTGCCTGGTTATCTGTCTCATCTGCGGTTTTTTTTGTTCTAAAAAGTGAGTTTTTGAATACAAATGAAGTCAAACAAAAATACGCAATAAAGCATTTCATAAAGTGGAGCAGTTATTAAGAGGAGCAGGTTGTGGGTTTTTTGGAGGTTTTGGGTTTTTTTTTTTACCTTCACTGAGTAATCTAGCTGTGTCTTTATCTTGAAGTGAGACATCTTCATTTAGCTGAAGAGGGCATCTAAAGCTAAGCATCTTCATCAAGTAATGAACTCCATCATTAAGACACTGAGTACAGTTAAAAAACGAGGGAAAAAAAAACCTTTTAGATAAGTTCTGATTAATTTAACAATAGCCAGAAACACTTCTCACTACGAATTTCCCAAAACCTCATTTAAAAGGGGGGGGAAAAAAAAAAAAAAGCTGTATTTTAAAAGTGAAGAGTATTCACATGCTCATAGAACTTTTTAATCTCCTGTACCTTTTTAAATATGGCAATGTTTTCTTGTAGCCATTCACTCCTTTCTTTTGCTGTATGACAATACATGTAAAGCAGGGCTCCTTTTCTCCAGTAAAGACATTCTAACAACTCTGCACCAAGGATGTTGATGGGCTGAAATAAAATCCAACAAACTGGACTAACCCAAAAGTAAACCATCTGAACTACCCATATACACACTCACACATGCAAACAGTCTTACATTAAGTCTCTAACTTTAGAGGCTGTACTTAACAGCAACGGTCACAGACACAAGCCTAGTATGTTGGATTGAAACTGCCAAAAGCACATGAAATCACAAAATGTCAGCAAGAAAAATTCTGAGCATGCAACAAGTTACTTGAAAAAAATATTTTCAGGAATCACTATTTAAATACAATTAAGACTTGAAAATTTTTCAAAAGATCTTAAATTCTGCCCATCAAAAATACAAATACCACTACCCTGTTTCAGATTTTTTATTTTTAAATAACGAAATAATTAATTCTCTGGCTAAATAACATTAGTACTCACTTCTTCATTTACATTGCATTCCCTCACTAGGTCTTCTGGTTCTGAAAGAATACAAGTAAGTTCTTTAACTTTTTGCAAGGAAGATTCTTCTGGGAAATCTTCATCCACAAGCTGGTTTTCCTCAAAATATGTAATGTCTAAGACAGCCTGTGAAAACAAGAAGATACACAATGTAAAAATGCTACTAGCAAAATAATCAAATGGTGGTGTGCAGTAGCATACAAACTTGTTACAGTTTATAAAACATTACAATTTTAAGGTAAATTTTTAACATTTAGTTTACAAAAGCTGCAAGTTAACAAAACCCTTCCTGTCCTTACAGTACCAGCACAATTATCGACTCTAAGTTATCTTCCAATCCCGACAAAAGCAGCCCCGGACTTCATGGATGTTCACCGCACACACCAAATAACAGAGATCCCTTTCTGCTATACCCTCTTTCCTACACCCAACCCTCTCCCATACCCTACACAGTACATTTTCTTGAAAGGGAGTTCTTAATGCTTTAAATACACTACCTGCGTATAGAGCTGCAAAAGCGCGGAAGGATGTTCTTTCCCTTCGTTACAGAGGTCCTTCAGTTTGTCCAGAGTAGCAGAGCCCTTTGCTAAGAAGGTATCTGAAGGAAGAATATAATGCTTCCTTAGCACTGAAGCGCACTCAGCAGGAGCCTTGCTTACTCTCCCTTTTCACTTCATATGGTTTTATCCATCCTTGCGGTATCTACAAGAGCAGCTGAATAATACAGCATTTAAACAGGCCTGCTGTCCCATTAGACTACACCTTTCACGACTAAATTATGGGCATTCATGGTTACGGTCTGATGTTTCAAAACCAATTCCATACACTCCATTTGCAAAGAAGCCATATACCAAAAGCACAACTTGCTAATGCACAGGTACGCGTTCTAGGCCTCTGCCGCCCTGCTCCGCAGGAAAGTCTCCAGACGGAGGCCTGGGCCGGCAGCAGCCGCACTGCTCCCAGGGCGAGCCTCTTTTCGCAGGAGGGAGAAGCCGAGCCCTCAGCCGCTG